TGAAACCCTGGCAGGGGTTGCCCAGAGAGGGGGTGGAGGCCCCATCCCTGGGACCATTCCAGGCCAGGTTGTATGGGGCTGTGAGCAACCTGATGTGGTTCAAGGTGTCCCTGCTCCTGCAGGGGGGTTGGGCTGGGTGACCTCTAGGGGTCCCTTCCCACCCAAACCATTCTATGAGTCTATAGCAGCTCCTCTGCTACCCCGGGGGTCTAAGCTGCCAGGGCTGCAGCAATGCAAGCCTGGTGCCAGCTTTTCATGCTTAAATGAACAGCAACAAGGGGTGGGTTTGCTTGGTGAGAGTCACTTGGGTAGGAAGAGTCCCTTGCCCATGTCTACAGCTCTCCTGGTGTTGTCCCTCTGTCTGTCCCCATCAAAGCCACTGTCCCTTTGCCTGCCACCCTCTGGGCAAGCTTTCAGCCAAGCTGCCAGCTTTTCCAAGGGAAGCCCTGATTTTTTTTTTTTTTGGAGAAATCCTCCTTTCCATGGTGGAGAGTCACTGGGCAGCTGTCATGATGATCAGTCCTTGGGCATGCCCTGCCCAGGGCTGTGATTTCCCTCCCCATAGCTCCCCTGGGACTCCCCTGGTGGGGGTTATCCCCCCCTCCCAGCTCACGATAGCAAGTGAGGATGTAAAACCCCATTTTGGCGATCCTGACTCATGCCGGCCGGTGCTCCTGACTCCGATGGGAAAAGCATTACTCACGTGAGCCTGCCTGCAGGAGCAGGGCTCTAATGACAGGGTTTACCCATCTCGTAGCGTGGGAACCGGAGCCATTAGCCCCTAAACCTCCAGATCATTCCCAATACATTAATGTTTCTAATTAGTTAAGCCTGATGCCTTTTTCTCTCCGTAATGACAGTGGCGCTAGCACTTACTCGTGCTCGCTCTGCGTGCCGGTGCTCCATTATATAATGATACAGTATGTGGTGTAATACCTATTCCCAGCTGACAGCGGGTTTTTTTGTTTTGCTTTTTTTTTGCATCTGCCTCATCCAGAACTGATGAGGCAATGGAGAAGACAGCCTAGTGTAAATAAATGTTTGGGTTGCATCCTTTCTAATGA